CAATACGCTAGGGGAGTTTAGCATTTCTTAACGAGGTTTTGCATGAGCTTCATCTCTACGCATCAAGCTCACCAATTTTATGCAATTTCGCTCCAGTCGGTTTTCATTCTGATTCTTTCTCTGGTTAGATACAGCTTGGCCCAATTCAAGCATTTTCTTCAAGTAAATTAAGCTGTGATCAATAATTATAGCAAAATCTACCCAAAAATTTTTTATTAAAGATATTGCTAGTTAGTTGTACTTAATAACCAAACCGTTATTAATAAATTGTTGGTTTGAATAGAAAAAATTCAGTTCTTTTTAAGTAAATTTTTGAGTTTGAATTTTGTAAATAAAAAAATAAATATTGAAAGAGTTTCTTTTCAAATAAGATTCGATGCGAATCGATTTCAAATTAATTGAGATTGAATAATAATGAGAAAGTTGAAAAAATGGGATGATTTGACGACGATTATAGAGTGATATGTCACTAGCAAAATTATTTAATTTAAATTTTTAAAAATTTTATATATTAGTGACATGGCTTGCCATGTCATTCGTCCATTATTTCATCTTCCCTTTTCATCTACTGTATTATTATTCATTGAAATTTAATATGATTACATGATATCAAAAAATTAATAATAATAATAATAATAATAAAAATAAACCAAACCTTTGGGTACGGTTAGTACTTCTCATGAGATAAATTGTATTCTATATCAGCTTTATTTCTATGTGGTTACAAGCTACTGTAAGTGGACAAGGAAGTATTTAATTGTACTAGATTTAACAAATATTTAATTCAGCTATCATGCGTGTACCTGCTTGCAGAAGGGTCAACAAACAGTGCTTCACTTCATCGTTTCTCATGTCTCCCATTGCGTAACAAGGCAAATTTCACCATTTCATGGCACTTCTAAGAAAGAACGATGACAAATTAACTTTTTTTTTTTTTCTTTCTTTTTGAGAACAAGGCAATTGGAGGAAGGAGAAACGTCATCCATAGGACTTAAAAACGCAATCTATGGGAAATAATTCTCACTTAGCCAAAAATCTCAACTATTAGATCAAGATCAAACTCATCATTTCGAAACACAAATCTTACCCTACAATCACGTGTTATCAAACACCAAATGCATTACAACCCACATGTTCTCATGTTCTATCCAAAAATAAACTTGTATTTGAATTATTTTTCTTTTATTAACAAAATAAATCAAGCCTTAGTAAACAAAAGAGAAAAAAAAAATTAAAATATTCTCACACTTTAAATGACATGATTTTTTTATGAAATTTGTTCAAATACTTGTAATAAATTTTTTATGTATATTAATTTATTAGGAACATTTTAATTGTAAAAAAATCTCAATTTTCCTAATTTCCTAAATCAAAACAAAATTAGTCAAAATATTAATCATTAATAAAATGATTGATCTTTATATATATATTAATCAAAAGTGGACTTTTTTGAAATTAAGATTCTAAATTTTTGTGGAAGTCATGGTTGATATATAGTTTTTCATATATAATATAATTGGAAAAAAAAAAAGGCAAGTTGCCTTAATTGACGTAAGAAGTACTCATCATATAACATTGACATGAATAAACAAGTAAACAAGCAATGCATATAATTACATCCTATGCACAAATATATATATATATATATATATATTAATCCTAGGCACATTTCAGCCCACTAGAAGATTGCAAACTCATTATAGATAGCATTGGGGTAAGCTCAATTCCGAGTTCTCAATTTCAAGATCAACATTTGTCACAAGGTCGTCGATTAAAAATGACCATCACTTTCTTCCATTCACTTTCCATCCTTAGGCGCAATTTGGGGACTGCATTCCCCGTACAAGGAACATGCATCATCTACTAATCAAGGAATGTACAACTTGTTTAAATTTTATAAAGTTTAAGGGCATATTTTAATTGAAATTTAAAGAGTTCATAGACCAGAGTAAAAATTTAAAATTTAACCTTTTATTTACAGTTGAACTAATGTAGAATGGACGCTTCCCGCTTCCATAGGAAAACAGCTTTCTAAGCTCCCCAAGAGACAATAGGAGGTTAATTAAGTGTTTGCTTGGTATGATTAGAGTTTTTAATAAAAGTAAAAAGAAATTATTGTAGAAGTATTGTTTTTGTAAATAAAAAAAATAAAAATAAAATAGAAATAATGTGTTAATTTTTTTAAAACCTAAATAAGAAGTTTCTATAGAAGCAATAATTCAATATTTTTGAGATTTACAATGAAATGAACAAAATACTAATTTGTGAGAAATTGTAGTATTTTTCACCGATTGTAGTGTTTGGTGCCGTTAGAGCTTTTGAAATCCAAAATAACTTTCTACCAATTGTACCTAGCATAGGCTAAATCTTACTACCTCTATCTCATAGTCATGTATTTTTGTTAATTAAACATTTTTTTCTAAAATAATAGTAGTTTGTTTTTCATATTTTAAAGAAAACAGATTTTTTTTATTCTAATATTATCATTATATTTTGAGAAAAAGTGAAAATTAGGAAGCATTAACATTAACACTTTAAATGCTAGGATCTTTTATGAAATTATTTAATATTTAATCATTTTTATATGTTAATTTATTTAAGATATTTTATTTTTTTATTATTATTCTTAATATTTTAACTGTCAAGAAGTCTTAATTTTTCTCAACCCCTTATATTTTAACTTTAATTGTCTATCTTATCATACAAAATTTTCTTTATATTTTTTATTAGTACCTTTTAATGGTAAAATAAGTAAAAATAGAATTATCTTAAAATTCTTAATCTAAAGATAAAATTTTAAAATATCTATTAATTTAAGACCATAAAAATATAATATAAGTAAAAAAATGCTTGTGCTCCTTCCGGTCTAAAATAATAAGGTTTAAGTACCATTTTAGTCCCTCAACTTATCACTTTGGTACCAAAATTGTCCCTCAGCTTTAAAAAGTACCAAAATTATCCTTAGACTTTCATTTTCGGTACCAAAATGGTCCTTCCGTCAGTTAAATGACAGGTGGCTCGTTAAAATGCCACAAAATCATTAAACTTTTTGAATTTTAATGACGTGTAAATCCAACTATGAAAATTTTGTTACCATGGCATTTTTTTTACACGTGGCATATTTTTTTACACATCATATTATCACCTTTTTATTTTCCCTTTTAATGGGGCCCACATGACTTTTTTTAACTTTTCTTATTCTTTCTCTATCTCCTCTCTTCCCCTCTTCTTCTTCCTCTCCAGATCTGGGTTCTCCGGCTTCTGATCGTCTTCTCCGGCATCTCGTTTTTTTGTGCTCGAAAGCCTTGGGCTTCCGAGTTTTGCTGCTCAAGCCCGATGGACCCGGCCTGTTCCCTGCTGCGATGACCCCATGAGGTCTCTCGACGACTAGGCCCTTCCGGTGCCTTTTTTGGTTTTTTTTTTTTTGTTTGTTTTCTTTGTTTCCTGTTTCTGTGTGTTGCTCGCTTGCTTGCAGGTCTCGCGGCTCCTTGCTCCCTCACGCAAATCTACCGAGCTACACGCTGGAATTCCCAGATCTGTTGGCCGTCACCCAGATCTGGTCTTCGCCTGTTCATCTTGGTTTTTCGCGAAACCCAGACGGGTTCCATGAGGAACCCAACCCAGTGTTGGGTGGCGGAACCTAACCCGATGCTAGGTTTCTTGAGGAACTCAGTTTTGGGTTCCTGGGTTTCGTGAGGAACCCAGATCTATGTTTCGTGAAGAACCCAGTTCTGAGTTCTTGGGTTCCTTGAAGAACGTAGGTTCTAGGTTTCGCTCTGTTTTTCTTGCTTTGTTTCTTTGGCTTCTTGCTTTGTTTGGTTGCTCTGTTTTTCTTGCTCTATTTCTTTGGTTTCGAATCGAGCCTGAAAAGGGAAATGACAGAGAAACGAAGACGAAGAACACTGCCACTGTTGGGGAACTCAACTAAAACTGGAAAAAGAAAACAATTTGTTTTTTTTTTTTCATGTAGGCCCCACAAAAAGTGAATATGAAAAGTGGGGAAGCAATCTGACGTGTAAAAATGCCACGGTGTCAAAAATGTCCTTGCTGGATTTACACGTCATTAAAAATGAAAAAAGCCGATGATTTTGTGGCATTTTAACGAGCCACCTGGCGTTTAACTGACGGAAGAACCGTTTTGGTACCAAAAATGAAAGTCTGAGGATAATTTTGGTACTTTTTAAAGCTAAGGGACAATTTTGGTACCAAAGTGATAAGTTGAGGGACTAAAATGGTACTTAAACCAAATAATAATTATTTTTTATTTTAAATTTGTCTTAAATTAATTACAAATTTTTTATTTTTAAAAAAATATAATTTTTTTTTTAATTTTAAACCTATCATTATC